AAGGACTCTGCTGGTTTAAGATAATACCCTTGTTGGTGGTGTTCTGAGCAATACTGCGTTGGTTGGTGGGGTTGGTTTTTCTTCTAATTCACCAAAAGCAAAACACTATAAGGCACGTTTAATTTCCACAACCTGACTTCTGTATGCCTCCAGCTGATACGATAAGGCATATCTTAACTGTTTTATCCAGCATTATGCATTCTTGTTTCATGAATTCTGTTCCTCCAGCTGTAGCGAGACTCCTCAAGCTGTGGGGGGGTTCTGTTGCCATCAACCATTGTTCCTTTACTGAGCTATGCCCCACTAGAAAAAACATACAAGTTGCATTTAGTCACCTGGTCCCACTCAGCTGTGCCAGGTCAAGTTTGCTGACTAAGGCTTTGCAAGATGTGCTCTGTGTTGTTAGCTTGTAGTGAGGCACATTTCTGACTGGGAAAGGGGATGGAAGATCTGAGAACTGATCAGCTAGTGGAAAGCTTTGTTTACAGCCGTTTGTCTCCTCTTGTGAAGGGCAGATGATAAATGGGGTTAGGCTATCCCAGTGTTTAGATGACATTCATGGGAATTATTCATCTATGACTGTTATGGTGAGGTCATGTGCTGTGTCCCATGCTATGCTGCTGTGCCAGGAGATTTATTTTAATAGAAGCCTTTAAGTAACTGGCATTCTTGCTAATCATGGTGCATCTGCTTCTCTGGGTTCCCTGTTATGAGTAATTTAATGCTATTACTTTAGCTAGAAGGGATCTGTGTCACCATCTGTCCTGGAAAGCTATTGATGGGGCTGTGCAGAACATGAAGTGTCATCAGCAGAAGAGAGGGACTTCTAAAGGGATGACTGGATTTCCTGTTGTAATACAATATAAGAAGGTTTACTGTGATTACGGCTTAGATAACTTGCATATGAAGACTGTTAGCTACTCTTTGATTTTTTTGGGGACCATTCCTCAGATATTTATATAGAGGGAAGATACTGTTGTCAGTTACTAGCAAGTAGTAATAACGTAGGTAATCTGCTAAGTAAAGTCTCTACTTCTGATAGGGGCATGGGTCTATGAGGCTGAAACCTTCAAGACTGACCCTAAAATGCCTGCACATCTGCCACTCCCAGCAGACAGATATTCTTTGGAGAGGGCTTGCCAGACACTTTTCAAGCCAAATGCTTTCCTAATCGATGGTTATTTTTTAATTGTTGTTTACAGACCACTTCCTTGTAACAAGCCCTCTCCATGCGGTAGCTGAGTCACAATAGACATGAAGAGGCTATATGGTTGAAAAGCAAATTGCTCTTCACTTCCATAAGTGGTGTACTTTCACAGTACCACTTACGCACAGAGTATCATCCTGGTCTCTCAAGTGTGTGTGGCTGATGTCTTTATTTTTATTGTCTGAGAAACGTATCTTCTTTTTGTCTTTGTGACTGGTTAGTAATTGTACTGTTCACCATCTAACCTGACTTTTTTGGTCCTTCCTGACCTCACTGCGGCTTGTTGCCTCCTCTCGGCAAGCTAACAAGTATGAGAGCATGCAGGGCTGGGAAGCAGCTTTGTGTGGGTTTATTGTGTGGAGTTTTTCTTTGATTGTACTATCCTTCCCAGCGATAAGTTATCTTGTGTTTTGAGTATAAATTGGCCTGACTCAAAAGTCCTGGTTCAAAAGATAGTTTGGAATATAAACTTTGCAGCTGTGATATTTTTTTTTTTTGTCTTGCGGAGGTGCAGCTCTTATTTCACATTCATCTAAGAAAGTGTTCTTGCTGTCTCTTGTCGTATCTTATGCAGATAAGTGACAAGCAGGAGGAATGTGTAGGGCCAAAATTTGCTTAAGGCTTGCAACCGGGTGAAAGAGGCCATGGGCTGGAGTTGGTCATCTGGAAAGGCTGAAGGAGGAAGCATGCCCTGCTTTCAGAATAGGGTTCGCGGTCTCCTGCAGGTGCATAGAAGTGAGTAAAATAACCAGAAATGAGAAGTGGGATGTGAACTGACTTCCGCAAAGAGTCTCAGTTAATTTGGGTTTTTCCCTTCTTCCTTCCCTCGCAAAGTGTTGGGACCATAACACCATGCCACCCATCACATATCCCACGATCAGACAGCTCTGTCTGAGAAGCTGAGTGTTAGCATTACCAGGTCATGTGGAAAAGCTGCTTGTGGAAGTATTAATGTAAAGAAAAAATTGGCCGGTATTGCAGGTTCACCAGGGTTCTAGCTATAGGATGACAACCAGGCGGCTCAACTTCATGCGGAGAGATTTTTGACAAAACTGGCTGAATGGGGGAAAGAAAAGTGGAGAATGCTAGTGTTAGCTGTATGTGTCTGGGCTATCGCAACCGCTGGGCTTCAAGCCAGAAAGGTTTGAGCAGAGGTCCTCCTGAGCCTGGATCAGGCCCCATAGTTATGAAAGACGTGGAGTTTGTTTTTCTGAACTGCTTCGGATATAAACCATTTCTTCTTGTGTTGAAATAAAAAAAGATCGATTCCTCAATTGAAACCTGTGCAGAGACTAAGGATGTTTCATCCCCAAAGATGGGTAATACTGATGAGGGCATGGCTCAGAACAGTTCTGTTTGGAGGCTGAGGGCATAGGCAAGTGTCTGTGTCCTGTTCACCCCAGCTTGAATCTTCCTTTCATGGAGAAGTCACAGTTCAGGAGACCGTCAGAGCCTGGCTTTGTTTTGAATGCTTGTCTTTAGTCTTCTCAAATGGATCAAGTTGGGGAGAAACCTCCTGCTTTGATCCATCTTCAGTCCATCAGGAAACACAACAGAGGAAAATGGAGTTTTTTGGGGGAACTGTATTAAGCAAGGGTGACACAGTATTGCAGGGTGGGGTGCCAGGGGCTTCGATAAAAGGAAACACATGTTGCAGGAGAGCTCCCCGGCTGCTGCTGATCTGCTTGATGGGAGCTGAAGTCAGAATTGGCAGCACAGGATCTTGAACCTTCAAACTTACGGTCATGGAAGCAACTGGCCCCTTGCATGGCCCTCTGAAGAGCTTTGAGAGGTGGAGAGCTATAAGAGGAAGGGAAGGCATAAGGCATATCTCAGATGTAGCTCTGAAAGGAAGAGTATGAAATTGCATTCTGAGAAAGAAAGCCTAGAGGGTGTGTTTATCCATTTTCATATCAACCATGGCTATTAAAACAAAATAAAACTTCAGTGTCTTGGTTTTCAAATTCAATACAAGTGCTTGTAAATCTGGGGACCCAGCTCTGTGTAAGTCTGGCTTGGCACAGTCCTAGGAGGTCCTGAGTCCACTCGATGCTGTGGATTTCTTTTGAAATTGAAAAAAAACTAAATATGTTTTGATCCCAAATGAGGACTTGCAGATTTGACTGGAATTGCTGGTGACAGTGCAATCTAGGACGGAGTTTTAAATCCAGCTGATGTACGATTCTACGTGTGGTAACTTGGCACGAAAAGAACCCGTCTTCCCTCTGCTTATGATTTCCACATGCTTCTGCCATATAGTAAAACTCTAGATCTCCATAATTTGTACCAACTGTTCAGAGGAGATGCTGTGCTATTACTCTGTCTGACACATTTGCTATGCCTGCTGGGTTACTGCCTTTTCCGAGACCTTTGAATTAACCAGATTTTTGGGTCATCAAGATTATTTAATGTTATTGTCATAAATATTTGTACAGGACTTGGTCAGTGCTTATATAAGAACTGAAAGACAGCAATTTGTTTTAAGAGGATGTGTGTTTTAATGAACTGCCAGCTGAATGTTAGATATAAACTGTAAAAAAAGTGCTTTTCTTTTGCAGGACTATTGCAGTTTGTGGAGTGGGAAAAAAATACTATTGAGATTGTCAGTTATTTAGAATTGTCAGTTACAGCTGTTTAAATTTAAAATCGCTTGAGAGTTCTTTAAAAAGAGGGCTATTTACTTCTAAGTAGTTGTGTTGGCTTATCATCCTGTCCTCAAAAGACGAGACACTGATCTCTTGCATCTTATTAATCATTTTCTGTTGATGTTATCCTTTGAATTGTTTCTGTGCCAAAAATGAGAGGTTGTTATTGTGTTATATTTCACAGTTGATTCTTGTATAAAATTCCTTTTTTTTTTCTTAATTTCCAAAGTACTGTCCTCTGAAATACAAACAATAAACTCGAAATACTAACAATATGAATCTGTTGTTTGGAAATGATGAAGGTTATATATCATCCAATCTGCTGAAATGTGTTACAAATGAATAAATATTTGGTTTGCCTCTAGCTCTTCTTAGAAGCACTGAAATTAGTTGTGGTTTTTTTTTTTTTTTTTAATTGAAGGAATTTTCGCCAGGTTTCTCAATGAGGGACAATACTACAAATAAGCCAAAATATGGAGGCTGCCAGGGGGTGCTGTGTGCATTCTGGCAAACTTGGGTTGCTTCTTCTAAATACCTTAATTAGCAGAACATAGTCTCCAAGCTGTTCTTGGAGAGCTGCTGCCCTGCCAGACCGCAAGCAACAAGCCCCCAAATCCTGTGGTTTTAGGTCATAAAATAGCCTTTAGTACTGTGATGTTGTGCCGAGTGTGTGTATGAGTCTTCGTGCTGATGCAGCACCACAAGAATGTGCCAAAGTCAGACGAATTCCCCTTCGCCGTGTCATCTGCTGATGTAAAAGATTTTTGTGCTGTTGGGTGGTTCACACCTGGAGCCAAGGTTTAGTGTGCTCTCGGGAAGAGCGACATGTAACCTGTTACAGGAGCAGGAATTGATGTGTCATTAGGTCTGCATTCAAACTGTCTCTTAGTGTCCAAATCCAGATTTTTACAGGATGCCTAATAAATCAGATCTTTGTTCCTGTGTTGGCCAAATGAGTCTCTAAACCTTTCCTTTATGATGCCTAGGTTTGGTAATCTTACTGCCAGGGTGCTGCTACAGTTCTGCCGTCTGGATGAAGCGCTGCTCAAAAGGAGTCTAGAAACCATCTCCAATGGTCGTGTGCTTTGAGACCTTGGTATGTACAGTGCACTGGAAGGATTAACTATGTGATATATTTTCCCTTCCAGAAAAAGAGCAGAGAGGAGACATGTGGGGAAGGCAGTGGAGTAGAGATCCTGGAGAACAGGCCATACATGGATGGACCGGGAGGCAACGGGCAGTATACTCACAAAGTGTACCACATTGGTATGCACATACCCAGCTGGTTTCGGTCAATATTGCCCAAGGCAGCTCTGCGAGTTGAAGAGGAATCGTGGAATGCATATCCTTATACAAGGACAAGGTAAAACTTATCAAGATGTCCAGAGCTGTTTCCCTACTTTAGAGAGAGGATTTGATGTCACTCTGTGTGGCGGTGGCATCTCTTCCATCTCCTGTAATATCCTTTAGAGAAAGCGGGGTCAAGTCCTAAAATTCTTACACAGTGCTTAATCTCAGGAATGCGAGTGTTGCCCAAGCTGACTGCATGCGTACTCGAGAGTTTGTGGCTGGTTGGTCTAAAATGTGAGCTGTTTTGTCCATCAAAGCGTGGGAAATCTTGAATAGTTTTTATTTAGTCTTGTATCCTGCACTGCATGTTCTACTTAGCGTTGCAGATATCTGCTAGCTCAGTGAAGTTATAAATGTGCACGGTGATGGGACAGTTGTCATGTTGAACACTGTCAAATAAGACAGGATTCATTTGTTCTAGGGGGGAAAGTGTGGGGAGAGAAAAATCTTAATAAATAATTCTGGTGCTTCTTTTTTGGGAACTGTCTTACTGTCACTTAGCTAGAAAATAACAAACCTACATCCTATAGTTTTCATCCTGTGAAGGGAAGAGTGCCAGAGGCTCTGTGGAGCCCTCTGGGATCTCCTCGTTTTGGCTGATTTTGTCTGGAAGGACTTCAGATACCCTGGAATAAATAGCCTTTATGCCAGTTACTCTGGTTTAGAGCATTTTCCCTTTTCCGAGTTTACAAGTCTGATACTGCTGTCATCTTTCATAATAAAAAGGCTTTAATGGATATTTTGATTTTTATCAAAAATCTAGAAAAGCTTCATAGTTCTGTTTTAGCTGGTCTCTACAAATAACATTAGTCTGGGGAAAGGTGGGGAGTCAATGTCTGCATATGGGCAGTTGTTCATGACTAAATGTAATGGAGCTGTCTGACTTTCAAGTGATTAAAGTCCACTTCCAGTCTGTTTTTATCTGTTCTCTTGAAATGCCCGAGAGTCAATCAGTTGGCCCAGAAACCTGGCGCTACACAGAACCAGTCCGTATTTTATTCTGCCATAGATTCCAGGCAAGAGCTCTGTTTTTCTCCTGGTGGAGGTGCATTTCCAGGGTGTCCTTGTATTAGTATCTGTGTCATAACATAACTTGTTAGTACAGCGGGCCCAAAAGTTATCTCCTTGCTGAAAACCGCTCCTTTAAAAACAGTCTGTCCTGATAATAGTATCCTGGAGGAGACATTGTCAAATTAGGTTGCGGGTTTTTGTCAGTGTCTCTGCAAAGTGAGACAACTTGGTGGTCCCCTCGGGTGTTCCGCTTGCTTGTTGCCAGCTGGGAAGTTGTTTCTTGGTCAGTATGGGTGCCCAGTCTCCAGTAACTGCTGGGACACATTGGTATCTTCTCACCAGTAATCCATGTAACACCTCATGGGGAGCACACCCCTTTGCTGTGGACTTGGGGTTCTACTAAACCAGAGCTATTCCAGTGAAGCCACATGTCCGAGGCGAGCTGATGTCTTAAGAAGTCATTAAAGAAAATCTCTTTAATCTGTACAGACAGTATTTTAAGCATATCTGAAGTAAAACATGAGTGAAGGCTGGCTTGGATTTGAAGCTGATTTTGTACATCTTAGGAAAGCATTTTCTCTGCTTGCCAAGCCGAGCGGGACTTAACTTTAAGCTGCGTTGTTCTCGTTTTCAGGTATACGTGTCCATTTGTGGAGAAGTTCTCTATTGATATTGAGACATACTACAAAACTGATCCAGGAGAGCACGTCAACGTGTTCAACCTTTCTCCTGCAGAAAAAAGACAAACCATTCTAGGTGAATAGCCTCTTTCTTTTCCTTTTTCCTTTATTCTGCTTTTTTTTGCTGTCTAAAGGATTTTGCTTGGTATGTCCCATCTGCCTGTCCATCCCTGGCCCCCCTCCCCCCCAAACACCTACCTGCACCCCTGTTGGTGTCAGGCTGCGGGGTAGGCTTACATCAAGTAAAGTGAGGACACCTGAGTTCTCTTCTAGACTTGAAGTAAATTACATGGAAATCATTTGAATCCCCCATTTGTAAATTGGAAGCTGATGCTTTCCTGTCTTATTTGTGCAGCTCCCGAGGAGAGTAAGACTTCTAATGGTTTTGGGGGTAATAAGTAGACATAACCATAGAAGAGGAAAATATTGCTGTATAATTGTGTAGCTCCTTCGCATATATGAAAATCATTCCCATCTGCATTTCTGAAACATGAAGGTGTATTCCATTTTTGCTTCCGCTCCTCTTAGTCTTGCCCTTGTGCAGGTTAACACTTCAGCTTCGCAGCTGTCTTTGGGAGATTGGGTTAATGAACCTTATATATGTAAGGATTTAATGGACAAGGCAAAAGGGGAACATCTTATAAAAAGGCGGAGAATGGCAAGTGTCACAGTGATTCGTCTGCCTTGCTATCCATCGTGGTCCGTGCCCGTGGCATTTGCCGAAGACCTAACTGCGTGGCAGGGAGTGCTGGCAATTACAGCCACGCAGGACTGAAGCATCCCTTGCCCTGAAGCTGCTGAGACCGGAGAAGTGTTGAGCTCAGGCTGAGTTCTGGCAGTCCCATGCTGCGCTGGCCGCAGTGGGAGCTCTGGGGAAGGACATCTAGTGGCTGCTCTGGCTCCTTGAGCGCTGTTGATGTGCGGGACATGGCAGTTATCCCATACAATTTAACTTCAGTGTTATTTAAATTTATTTGTTTTGAACTTCAGTTTGATTGTCCTCATTCCTAAGCCTGCTTGATCAGGCTTTCAGTACTGAACAAATAGACTTGAGTCATGCTGCCTCACTGAGAAGTGTCAGAAGAGCTGTCGTTTCTTGGGAGGTGTGATCCTGCCCTTCAGTCCAAACTTCAGATGTTTCTGCTGAGGTCTAGGGTGGAGGTTCCTGATCTTTAAAATACGTTCATTCACTCTGCTCCCATTGCAGTTCCCACTTATCCATTGTTGAAGTGTTAATTAGGACTTAAGTTCAACTTTCTGCCTTCCGTAGTACATCTGGTGTAACAATAGCACAAGGAGTTACCAGTAACCTCACTTGATGGACTCCAAAATAAGATGTTCAGTGGGTAGTGCCTTTTCCATAACAATACTAAGAAAGGGCAGGTGTATTTAACTGTCTCAGACGAGACAGAGCTGTAGCACTGTGAGTGATATTAGAAAAGCTGAAAGATGGAATGTGCAAAAGATCTTTTTGGAGCTGGAAAGATGGAGTGAGCAGAGTGCTGTGGATCTGCAGTCACTGTGGGCAAAAACATCTATTTGGAGCAAAGCCTCTGTTTGCTGGAACTGTGCATAGTAGTTCCTCTGGCAGAGCTGGTCACTGCCCAGCAGCAATGTATAAACAATTTAAATATCAGTTGTTTAAGTGTAAGTAAAAAGAAATCAAATTGCTGTAATGCTTCTGGTACTCACTAAAACAGAAATAACTCCTGAAAAATGGTATTTTCTTCTTTTGTTCAGGAAAAGGAAATGTTCTAACCGTTTCTATTCTCTTTCTATAGATCCTATTGATATTGTTAAGGATCCTATACCTCCACATGAATACAAAGCTGAGGAGGATCCCAAGCTGTATAAATCAGTGAAGACTAAAAGAGGCCCCCTCTCAGAAGACTGGATTCAAGAGTACAAGAACAACCCTGGGAAATACCCCATCATGTGTGCATATAAACTGTGTAAAGTCGAGTTCAGATACTGGGGGATGCAGTCGAAAATCGAGCGGTTTATCCATGATGTTGGTGAGCATTTATAGTCTCGCAAAGTTCACTGTCGACTCCTTAATGTTGTTTCTGAATTGAAACACAAAGGTGAGGTATGTGCAATGTATCATATCCCAAGACATGTCTGTGAAGAGATTCTCAGATCTGATTACTCTTTTTGCAGAGCTGTGGGGTCAGTTCAGAAAAAATCATGTTATTCTGTCACTTGTAATCATGGTATGTATGAATCCAAACCACGTGTAATCACTGAAAGGGTTTCAAGTCCTGTGTAGGCAAGATCTTGCGTTCTCTTTTTTTAAGATAAGGATCTGTCTGTTTAACTTTTCCAGATCATTTTCAAAATCTGCCAGTTTTCTTTATTGTGAACAAAATCCTCAAGGGCTGCTCAGAGAAATGAGCTTCACTTGTGAGTCCTAAGTGGTTCCAGAAAACCACTCCCTGGAGCGTCCCTAGTTTCTACCTGCCTGGTGGCAGGGCTGGTGGGTCTGTGTGGTCATACATCTCTGGCCTCCAGGCTGCGGTCTTGAGGCCTCCCCACCTCACTGTGCTATAACCCACCGTGGGTCATTGACAGCTCTTAGCTGTGAGTAAATGTGCTGCTTTGATTGATGCATCGTTCTTAGGTCAATGCTTTTAAGGGGGTATTGTTTGTGTCCCAGAAGTAACTAAGTGGAGACAGTCCAGGTGGTAGCAGTGCTGGCAGTAATTTGTTCTTTGCAGAAAATCCATAACACAACTGATACGGTTTCTGAGCCTTGCCACAAGAGACAGGATCTGTGGCCAGGTGGAAAACTTACAGAATGTTTTAAAGAAGCATTCCCATCTCAAAAAAAGTGCAGAGCTATGGCTGTCCTCGGGCGAAGAAAAGACCAAAGAAAGGCTGTATAAAGGATGCTACCTGCTTTCTGTACACAGTAAATCCTCCTACGTGACCTCTACAGCTGTCCTTTCTATATGCAAAGCTTCTTTGAAGTGCCTGATGCTAGCATAAGTAAGTAATTTTATAGCTCTTTTCAGTCATAATGTGCTCCTGAGAGCTAATGTGGAAAACGCTGATAGAGCAGTGGAGAACAGTGTGCACCGCTCTCTGAATAGTCACAGGTTGCTTTCTTAAAGCTCCTTTGGTTTTACTTTACTCCAGATAGAAGGTTTTACCTGTTACAGACTGTATTACAAGTGGCTCTCTGCAATGAACTCCCTTGGCATTTTGGTGACATGGGTTAATTTAGTGTATACTGCAAAACATGGGGGCAGAATAACAACTCCATTGTATCTGTTAAATGAAAAAGAAGCATGTGACTCTCTGAGTTGTTCAGAGGTGTTTGGCATAGATTAAACTGTGGTCCCTTAGAAATGTTTCTTTTGTATTTCGTGAAAGATTGCCTGCCATTTTCCTCTTGATTGAGGCTTTGCGGAGAGCTGAGCCAGCTCATTGTCTGCCTTTCAAAAGCCTTTCCACTCTGTTATAATGATGGCAAATACCGTTTTTCAAAGTGGTTAAGATGCATAAAATCAGAAAAGTCTTTAAGGCAAGACAAAGTTGAGTGAGTGAAAAGTGAAAGCAAAAGCTTTGGGTAGCCACAGAAGATGTGTAGCTTTCCCCTGCGATGGGATAGCCGTGGGGAAGCCATTAGTGAGTGGGAAAAGTGCCATAGCACGTGTACCAAAGACAGCAAGGCATGAGGATGTTTAGGTTGGAAAGATGGGGGCTACATCATGACTGACCAGGCTTATATGCTGATCCCAGTTTTGGGGTTTCAACTGGTGACCGAAAGCAGATGGAGACCTTTGCGCATTGTGCAGCCGATGGTGGACCAAGCTCTCAGGTGCCCCAGAGATGTTCTTGTGGGTCAGCCTCTCCTTGGCATTTTTCTCCTGGTGCCTCTGTTCCCAGCTCCTGCAAACTTGTTTCTTGGGGGATTAGGTGTCTCTGTGCAGGGTCGCCAAGCCAGCAAGAAAACGGAGGCAGAAACCAGGAGCAGGATCCAAACTCTGCCCAAGGCGGGGAGCAGTACTTAGTGGTGCGAACTAAAATTAGAGAATGGGTTGAAAGAAGAACACGTCTGAGTTGAGTGATGGATGGATTGTGATACGTAGAAAGGCTGCTGAGCGCGGAGGGAGTAGCTCTGGGGGATGGTATTGAAACGTTCTCAGTCTTACTGAGTGCAACAGCCATTTTTTTCTGATGACTAATTGGACAGTTACTCAGTGCTTTGACAGTCTGAGACGCAGACTAAAATTGTGGGCTATTAGTCTACTTGGCTGTAATATTGGTATGCTTTTTTACTCCTTTCCCATAGAATTTAAGTTTAATTGGACTGGCACTGCATAATGTTCTGCTCCCACTTCCTTCCTAATGGTGCACGTGGGCTATGATTCTTTTGTTGTTAAACAAGTGTGTTGACTGTGTATGGGTTATTGATTATATATTATGGCAAAGTGTGTTCCCATCCCAGTTACTGGAGCTTTGTCTAAGCCACTGCGTCTTAGGCTAAATATACCCAAATTGTTGCACGGTGATGAAGTGGAAGTACTTTTAGAAAGCTCTTTTGCAGAACTTTTGCTTCACTAAAGCACTCAAAAGAGAAAGTTCATCCAGAGGGGTACTGCCCGTTGGGGCCTGCAGGTAGAGTTTTGTCTTTTCAAGGGTAGGCAGCTTGCAGTTAGCATGATGTGGATGTGACCACAGGCTTTTTTTTGTGAGAGGTCTGAGCAAGGGAGGGTAGGGAAGCAAGCAGATACAACTGCAGGTTGCCTTTGATCGGATACATTCAGACAACCAGAACTGTACTGAGAAAGTTATGGGATCTGTTGTGACTATCAACGAAATAGTGTTGCATAGGGAAAATCAGGCATCCTTTATCTGCTGCCAGGAAATTGTGAGCGTGCATTATAAAATGCTTTGGGATGTTGCCACTGGGCACGCAGTTGATAGGTATCTGCACAGTTGCTTTATATGGATAGTTGAGGGGGTGTTGGGCAGGATTTGGTGGTTGGGTTTTTGATTTGTTTTGGGTTTTTGCATTGAGTTTTTGTTACGTTTACTATTTTTATTTCATGTTGAAAAACAAGCCCAGAACTATAGACAAAAGCTTTTTAAATTCAGCTAAAGAGTCCTCTGTCCTGGCTTGTCTCATGGTCATTTACACTTCCTTTTGTAAGATTAATTTCAACATCACAATCTCAGGCAAATCATTTACAAGAGTCAGCACCTCATGGATTTAACCAGTCTCTGAGTTGTTGAGGTGGTGAGTTGCAAGGCAAGTGATTTAAATGTTTGCACTCTGCTAGACTCTTCACAGATGATCTTTCTGCATGACACAGTAGGAAATGTTATAATTAAATCAAAGCAATGATGATGGGTACTTCTGAACTCAATCTGCATGTGTACATTTGTGCATGTGTGGTTTCCTTGGGTTTTTTAAACCAAAGCGTTGCGCTTTTTCTATTTTATTAGAAATAATAGTCTTGTTAACTGCTGATATTACTGAAATCAGCTGGTACCTGTTCCCATTATTTCTGATTGACTTCAGTGTGTGACTTGCCTGCCGAGACTGTGGGGTTATCCTCCAGTTCTGGGAAAGAAGGCTCAGATGAACATGGTGCACACTGGGTGGAAGGGGAAAACTTATTCTAAAATCCTCCCTGATTCTCCTGTGTTGCTTGGTTCTCTCTTCACACCAGAGACACCTCTTTGTGAGACCATCTCCTACCCTGCATTTCTTCCGTACTGCTGGGTTGGTTTGCTCTGTGGGCGAGAAGGGAACACGCATCCCACAGCAGGTGGTGGCAGGGGAGACGGAGGAGCGTTGCGTTGCCTGGAGCCTCCCCTCCGCTGGGCTTGTTGCATTCCTGTCCGACCTGGAACAAGGTGACGGGTGGGATGCTGCACCCAACCTGTCCTCCCCGGCCAGTTCCCACTACCCAGGGGCAGCATGCCACAGGCTTGCAAGGCAAACTGCCAAATGGGCTGCAGCCAGCCGTGAGGCACAGTGTGTGGTATTGAGTGTGGGACAGGGACTCCTCGGGCTGAGCAGGAGATCATAGAATCATTAAGGTTGGAAGAGACCTCTAAGGTCATCGAGCCCAACCGTCAACCCAACACCACCGTGCCCACTAAACCATGTCCCTAAGCACCTCATCTACACCTCTTTTAAATACCTCCAGGGATGGTGACTCAACCACTTCCCTGGGCAGCCTGTTCCAATGTTTAACCACTCTTTCAGTAAAGAAATTTTTGCTCATGTCCAGATGTTTGCACCTCCCCTCCTGCCAGAGAGAAAAATGAAAGTGAACTGGACCACAGATGCCTTCAGCACTGTCCTGATGGGCATCTCTGATCTGTTAAAAAGAGAATTTTTCCCAATTACACTCTGTTTCCTGGGTCTGATCTGTCCCCTCCTTTTCACTTTTCAAATAAAAAGCTTGTTTTTCTCTAACATTTTGATAAAAAAAATGCTTTAAGACTTGATTTTTTTCCATTGCACAGGGAGGGAAGCAGTGTCTGGACAAGTGAGGTCAGTCATTTGTAGCTGGATCTTGAATCCACCACGTAGCTGCGTGGGGGCACTCGGTGCTTCCTCTGGCTCTCTGCTGCGCTGCAGGCTGAAGATCAACTCAGTGATGTACTCACTGCTGGGCACTGAGGGACTGCTCAAGTTTCCCATCCCTAGCAGTGAAGATTTTTTTTCTGCAAGCCATGACTTCTATTTTTCAATTTCTTTTGTACCTGGACAGCCTCGTTCTCTTCCAGGTTTTCTTCCTGTGTTTAAGAAGGAGAAATGCAGCATCACTGACACATCCCAGGTGAAGGCCAGAGGCTAGGAAAATAATCTCAGTCTTTTTTACTTCATAGCTAATCCGGAGTGATAGAGGCACAACAGCCGTGAAGCCCTGTAATGCCATCCTATTTTCAAAAGAACAAGGCTTTAGGGAAGGGTAATTTGGGATGTCTAATCAAAGTGATGTGAGCAGTGCAGATGGGGAGGTCTGTGAGTTGGGGGGAAGCTGTACAGGTGATTTTTGTGAGCTAAGAGGTGAAGTGAAAGAAGGCAGAGGGGAACTTCAGGAGACTTTTTTTACCCCCAAGTGGTTTTCGTGTTCCCTAGGATGTTAGCCCTTTAAAACAAAGACATGTGGTCGGTGGCATCTGTGCATTTACACTGAGAATTTCCGAGGAGTTGGTGCATTGATACATCAAGGCTGGATCCAGGAGCATGAGCAGAGGCTGCTGAGCCCTGGAATGGAGGGAGTCTTGGGATGGGAGTGAGGGGTCCGTTCGCTTCTGTGTCTGATCACAGTCTGTTTTCAAGGTGTTTCAAGCAAGGTAGACGTGGACGTTGTGGATGTGGAAGTCCAAAGGATGGTTGTGGTGTTGGGAACTGAATTACAGCAAGGGAAACGTTTTCCTGGCTTTCAGTGTGGATGTGATGGGAATTTAATCTTCGTCTTTAAGCTCTGCTGATTGTCAATCATAACAGGAGGTGAAGAGGCTAAAATATTCTCCTGCAGTTCTGCAAAAAGTAATCTGGCGGGGAAAATAACTGAGTCTCGACTAAGGTTGAACACAATTAAGTTGCCCCTTGTTCTGCCCCCAGAAGGTCAGAGTCTGCTGGCTCAAACTTGTCTCTCCTATGCGGAGCTCCCTTGTGAAAGTCAGGCAGAGAAATGCATAAAATATTGATAGATTTAATCTTACTGTGCAAATGAAGTTCAGGTTGAGCTGGTCCATCACATTAGCTGCTGATCTCAATGGCTATTTCCTCCTGATAGGTTGACTTGTGATGGCTGGTGGCATTAAGAACTAACCAAAGAGCAGAGCAGACAATAAAGTGCCCAGACCTGGAAGGAAATAAACATATAAAAATAAGCTTTTTGTATGTTTAAAAAACAAAACAAAACAAAAAGATTGCTGAAAACAAAAAGGATCTTTAGGCTGAACATCGTAGAAACTACAACAGTAGTGAGATCTAAGATTTTCTGTACAACAGTGAAGCACGTGTTGCTGGAAACACCTTAGAAACCCTGAGCACGGGTCGTGGTTTAACCTCAGTCGGCAACTAAGCACCACGCAGCCGCTCGCTCACTCCCCCCCCCCGTGGGATGGGGGAGAGAATTGGAAAAGCACAAGTGAGAAAAACTCGTGGGTTGAGATAAAAACAGTTTAATAATTGAAATAAAATGATAATAATAATATGATGATAATAATAATAATAATACTACACAAAGCAAGTGATGCACAGTACAATTGCTCACCACCCGCCGACCGATGCCCAGCCAGTCCCCGAGCAGCGGCCCCCCCGGCCAGCTTCCCCCAGTTTATGTACCGAGCATGACAGCACATGGTATGGAATGTCCCTCTGGCCAGTTTGGCTGTGCCCCCTCCCAGCTTCTTGTGCACCTCCAGCCTTCTCAGTCGGTAGAGCATGGAAAACTAAAAAGTCCTTGGCTAGTGTAAGCATTACCTAGCAACAACTAAAACATCGGTGCCTTATCAACTTTGTTCTCATCCTAAATCCAAAACACAGCACTGTACCAGCTACTAGGAAGGAAATTAACTCTATCCCAGCCAAAACCAGGACAGCACAGTAGGACCATCCAGCTTTGGCCGTGCTCCTGGAAATGGACGGTGGCTTACGAGGGCCATCTTTCCTCATGGTGGTGCTTAGAGAGCTCGATCTGCAGCTCCCAAAACCTAAATGATTTTAATGTAGCCTGTTGGTTGCTCTCTATCTTGTAATAGCAGTGGTGGTGGTGTGGCCTGTGGTCTTTGGACAAGGTCTTCATTAGAGTGAGAGGACGGCTACCCTGCCTGCCAGCTTTTTGGCACAGTATGTTTCTGCTCCAGGCTTAACAACGGAGGATTGTGGATCCATAATCCCACTGACAACAGATCCCACTGCTGCTTTTGGCATGTCCTTCAACCCATCTTTGGCTCAGTTTCCTAGTAATCAAAGGGGGCACAATATTCATTGATTCCCCCACCCCCACCCCGAAAGGCTCCTGAGGATTAGTTTATCAGTATTTATAGAAGCTTTTAAAAGCACCATTACTGCTGTGTGCTCCCATCAGTAATAAATAGCAGTTTGGAGCTTTGACGTGTCACGAGCTTTTAAGCAATAACATTGGTTGAAAATCCTGACAGTGACTGTACTCTTTAAAAAAAAAAAGTCTTGGTGGTATGATGATGTTAGCCAACAAGTTTAAGTCTTGAAGGAAAGTTTCTGTTGCCTGGTCAGGGGCATTGTGTGTTGATATTGAGACAGTTCTTCCTTTCAGATATATGATACGTTGAAATATTTTAAATTGGCTTTACCCACTTCATTTTTCTCTTGCAGCAGAAGACAGATGGTATCTGCAAAATAAAGCATCTTTATTCCCTCCCTTACTTTGCTTCCCATCCCATTATCTCAGAAGCTCCTATTTGTGATGCTGTTTCACTGATATATAGAAACCGGGTGCAGAAACCAGGTTTCCAAGGAAAGGAGAGGTTTTAGTCTTAGCACTGCTGATGTGGGATGTGCTTCCGTCATGTAAAAATTGTGGTGGGCTATGTAGTGTTCATCAAGGAACCACTTGAAACTCTCCTGGATAAAAAAAATCAGTGGTTTTTATTGTTGATGTTGGCTTTTTTTTTTTTTTTTTTTTTTTTTTTTTCTTCTGGGAACATACTTCACTTTGAAGGCCAGATCCAAATGTTACAGCTTCCCAGAACTTCATGGGAGTTGCAGTTGTGGTCTGTGCGTGGCTCCTCCTTGGTGGAGCAGGCAGTTACAGAACAAAGTCCTCCATCCAGAATTAGGAAATCCCTTCCCAAGTTAAAAGCAGTCGCAGAAGACTGGCTAATTTTTCAGTGCATGGTTGGTTAGCAAGAATTGAGGAGATAAAGTACGTGAAGTGACCAGTTTGCCATCCTGGTGCTTACTATATGAAGACCCTTTACTGCAGCTTATAGCATTGTGTTTTTGATGACACTGTAGTATCCTTGCCACAGTGTCTCGAGGTTTTGGGCAGCGGAACACATTGATTCCTGCAGTTTGTAGCACTGGTGACAGGGGCATTTTGGCTTTGCAGGCTTGCGGAAGGTCATGGTCCGTGCCCATCGGCAGGCTTGGTGCTGGCAGGATGAATGGTATGGGCTCACCATTGAGGATATCCGGCAGCTGGAGAAGGAGGCACAGTTGATGCTGGCTCAGAAGATGGCCCAGTTCTGCAGTGAAAATGATACTGAGCAGCACAGTGTCAAAGACGCTCCTGGTGAGAAGGATGTTGAAGCCAGCACAGTTTCACCTGTTGACACAGAGGATGCCGCTGGTAACAGCGAAACAGCCTCTGGGAGATCACTCACCAAGCAGTGGTCCACGTCTTCCAAGTCCTCACGATCTTCAAAGAGAGGAGGTAAGATGCTGCTGATGACTTGCTCTTCTGAACTGCATGGAGGTTGGGCTTTTGGGAGGTAGGACCATGTCTCCTTGTGGCTGGCACCTTTGGGACAATGCATATTTCTCCTGTGAGTCCTTTTAACTCAGAGGCCTTCTCTGCTGGTGTTGCAGGCTCAGTCTTCTCAGGTGACCTGTTACGGGTTTGGGAATGTTTCTAGTCATCCCATAACTGTGACTCAGTGGCACATGGCAGAATTCCTGCCAATCTCAAAGGCGGAGGAACTCTGAAAAAACGGTAGAAGAGCAGGCAGCATCTGACTAGCAGCAGTGGGTCTCAGAAGATGACAAACAGCGGCACAGACAGAGTTAGTCCTTGTTACCCAAGAGCCACTGGTGGCTTTTATAAGGCCTGGTCCTTCAGCGGTGTTCCCTCTCTGGATGTCTGCTTGTCCGCTGTGTCACAGAACCAGCCAGGCTGTGGGTCGCTGTTAACTGCCTCTCGTTTTCCAGGAGGCAGCTACAGCAGGCACCCCGTGCTCCTTGGCCGGGCTTACACATTACTACATGCCATTCATTTCAGAAGCGGGTGTTTGGCTCCATGAGTGCTGCAGTGTAGCTCACACAGGAAAGCACCCCCATTAGCTACCAGGAGATTAAGGCAGGTACCCCAAAACAAGTGGGTGGGGGCTGCTGCCTTCCACTGGTGATGGTGTGCAGTAGCTGTTCAGAGACCAAACATCACAGCCTGGGATTAGGTGGGACCACGGATCGTGTTTATGTTCCCTTTTAAATACCATTCAGGAAGCTTTCAGGATTTTGCAGTTAAAGCCTATGGATACCCTGTAAGGACTCAGCTTTGAGTCCTGAATTTTGTCACTCACCTCTCCCTAGGAAGTCACCTTTTTTTGCTGTACTAAACTCTTCCCTTTCTCGGACCGTTCCGTACAAAGGGGTGAATCCCCAGCGAGTTACAGACAGAAGGCTTGAACCCTCAGCAATTCCCTCTCCTTTTAGTCAGGCGCAGCTGACAGCAGGGTAATAGGTCTCACAGCAAGAGAGCAAAAAAAATCTTGATTTTTCTGAAAACCCCGAGGGGCGGTGTTTCTTCCAGTGACGGTGGAAGGGGACATCTAGGTGAGTGAAGCTTCTCCATCTCTCATAGGTGCTAAATATTGTGAGTTGAGTCTCCATTTCTATTTACCACTCCATCACTGATTTCATCACGGGGTGAATGAGAGATGAGCGGTAGTTTTACCTTGCGATGACTCACTGGAGTGAGCCCCAGGGAAGAACCTACCAGATGCTTCATAAATCGTTGTATAAAGATAAAAATGCTGGCTACCTTGCTTGCACCAGGATTTTATATTGATGTGCCTGTCTCTCACTATGCTTTTTGTTATGAACCCCCTCTTCCACTGCTGATATGTTCATTGGAAGCTGTAGTTTTCAGACCTCTTAGGATTTCACTTGAAGGTTTTCATTGGTAGCAAAGCATGAATTTCTTTTAAACTGCAGAATGTCTCGGCTTTTACAAGAAAAAGTAATGAAAGAAATGAATTGTGATGTGCTGGGAAGTACGTCATGCAGATATTTTAATCCTTCTTCATGCTGGCAGCATATTAACATATGGAAGCAAGGAGGGCTGTCTCGACTTACCGCTACCTCCAGCTGAAAAAAGCAACGCCTTTTCTCCAAAAGATCTTGGTCCTCCCTATATCATCCGAGCGAGACCTCTGGTGATAGCAGGACCCTTGTCACCATCCCATATGTTATTATATGCTCTATTTTTAGCAACTATTATGTGAGTGCCTTGACGTCACTTCAGCGTGAATTAGCTCTGCTCTGCCAACCTCCTCGCTTGCTGCTCCCTAAGGGGTGGGCGGCAGGGTGGTTGGGGGCTGCTGAGCCAATGCTGAGCTGCAATTAGATGACTCTGCACAGGGTCTCCATCCTCTTTCCATGTGGCAACTGGGTAGCAAAATTAGAAGAATTTGACTTACAGATTTAGTGCTGTTACAATAGCATGAAACGGCTCGTGCAGCTGTCACAGTAACCAGAACCTTTCAGCGTCTTTGTATATGCTAAATGAGAATTTGTCAGTCTCCTCAGGTTTTTGCAGTGTTAGGTTAGGTGGCTGCTGCGAGCGCTTTGTGTGCTCTGTGTGACATGCAAGAGCTATCTGAAGGAGGGGAAAAACCCTCTCTCTCGTCGTTCTTTGGACAGCCGTCCCTTCAGCAGACGGCTGTTCTGTAACAAGTTCAGCCAAGAAGAGTTCAGGCTGGATCATTGCTAAATTATATCTGAAAAAGCCCCATATTATGGCTTTTTTCTTTTTTTTTTTTTTTTTTTATTTAGCACAGGGAACTCTGGAGGGGAAAATGAAAAGGAGCAGGTAGGTGTGAGAACAGGAGGGCAAACAGGAACCAAAATGGACCGCTGGGTTTTCTCCTTGCTCTGTCAGGACAGCTCCCTATGAAGTAGTTGGATAGCATGTTGTTTAAATCATTCAAGTTTAAAGTTTAAATAGATCTCTAATCCAATTTGTGTGGAAGCAATTTCCTTCCAGAAAACAGATTATTTCTATCCAGGCTGCTCTGCTTAGCTACCCACCCGAAAGTTAGCGAAGCAGAGGCATGGTTTGTGTGCTGATTAGAGGCACGAAGAAAGCTTCCAATCAGCCTGCTTCCTTCCTAATTGCAAACTTTAAAACCCAGCTGATTTTGCACGTCCTACTAACAATTATAAATAGCTGCCATTCAAAATAGCATAAGAGTGATACAAACAGCTTGCTTTAATGTAGCATCTTGCTGACAGGTTCTAACAACAGTAAACAAACAGGATCTGTAAAGCGGTACACTGACATCACACCAGCATCATCGGGGTTTTGTGTTTTTAATATTGCAGCAGTGAATTTTCATAGAGAACACAGGACTCTTCCTCCAGCAAAGATCATGTTGGGAACTCTCCATCTTGTCGATGTAGCGTATCGCAAAAGGCTTTTTTGTTTTTTCCAGCAAGTCCCTCACGCCATAGTATCTCCGAGTGGAGGATGCAGAGCATTGCCAGAGATTCAGATGACAGCTCAGATGATGAATTCTTTGATGCCCATGGTATGTGGAGCCTAAATCACCATCGTTTGTTTCCTGAAATGGTGGGGTAAGAGAACGGAAGGCATGAGGGTGGGGGGTGAGCGGGGAAGGAAGCGAGACTTTTTTGCTTTGTTTGAAGTCTTTTCCTTTCTAACCAAGATAAGTGCAGCATCAGTGCAGCTTCTTCAAGCATCCCCAGCGTCACCCAGCAGACTCTTATATTTAACGCAGCACCATTTCAGATTCAGTGTGAGCTATTTGAAGGGATCTTGAACAGTCTTAACCTTTGGAGCTGTATTTTATTTGGTGCAAATGAGTGTGGGTAAAATTCAGCGATACTAACTGGACTGTGGGTGTGTCCTAATGATTCTGATTCAGTATGACTGATTATTTTTCTAATTTATTTTTTAATCAGTAGGATTATGATTAATTGTCCTGTCTGGGCCTGAAGAGACCCGAATTTGCCTTTATTAACTCCTTATTCTCCCATTCCAAGAAATACAATAATGAATGCAACAAGGTACTTCGGGTGCCAAAACTAATCAGTGTTGATTCCAGAATTCTCAAAGTAATTTTGACTATCCGTATTAGGAGAAAGCTGTGTTATTTTTTTTCTCTGTGCATGTGCGTGTGAAGAAGCTTTGTTCCCCTGCACTCACTTCATATATTGTACTTAATGCGTATTTAAGCCTGAAGGGCTCTGTCAGTACTGACAACAGATGGACTCTTCTCTCGGCTTGTAATGCTAATCTAAGTTAGATGTGCAACGTGTGCTGATGAAGTTGGTGACCTTTCTGTGAAATGCAGTTGTTAGAAGATGACGCCCCAGTTCTGTAAAGCAGAATTTCACTGATGTTCAGCTAGATTTCACTGATGTTCAGCTAAAGTTCGGTCTCAAAAAATTGATAGTATCGTGTTCCAGAAGAGTTCTCACATCAAGTATTTAGGCATGCATCTCAAATTCTGGGGTAGAAAGTGGCATTCTATTGTAGAGTAGTGACTTGCACAATAGCAGCTTAAATGGCCAGGATGCATGCAAGTTGGGATGAATGTCTCCCTTGCCTGGAAGGAGAAGGGCCAACTTAGTTTAAGTTAATAAATAGAGACACTTGCTACTCACAATGTAGCAGCTACAAAAACTATGCAAGGGATTTATTGTAGCAATAGACATACAAGAAAAGAGGAGTGAGTCATTGGAACGGCATCATTGCTATTCACCCTCTTTTTTGCCTTTTTAATTACTTAATAATAAAATTGAGACAGAGATGGCTCTGCCTGAGATCCAGGCCCCCAGGGAATCCCTGACATGCTCCTAACAGGCCTGGGAAGGAGAATTAACAAAAATGAGCCTTGTGCCACAGTTGGTATCAGCACCCCTGTTGCAATACTTCTAGGAGCTTGCTAACAGAAAAAGCAGCTCCTCTTCTGCTAGCACACAGCATGTCTCCATTTACGTACAGATTGTCCTCTGCAATCCGCACAGCTGGGTTTGAAAAGTCTGCCTAGTCTGATGGGATTTTGGCTTACGAGTTGAAGCCTTGATGTGTGTGCTGTTCAACACAGCCCTCTCTTCGGGAGGGACCTCTTGCTGCCCCTTGGCCCGCAGATGACATGTCCCGGCTCCAGGTCTGTGAGCAGGGATGAAGCACCGCTTGCAGCTCATCCTGCCGGGGAGACTTGCGGGGTCGGTACCATGGGAACTGGCACAGATCAGGATGTGAGTCAACACCAAGCAGAGTTCCTTAGAAGTGCTTCCCATATATACACACACATTTCCTCACAGTGCAGTGGGCGTAACCTGAGCCCGAGAAGATTTCTTGTCGCCCTCTTCCCACTCATCCTCATTCACTGGCATACTCTGGTAAAGATAGTGACAAATACAGTAATATCTAATATCTATCCTGTAATAAATGCTAATAACGAGAGTAATATCCCATTCAGTGATCACTTGAGCAGCAATAAGGGCTGTAATTAAACCTCTCAAGGAAATAAGTTTAATATTTAGATTAAGTTGCTGGAGGAGCTTTAAGAGCAATCTTCCTCTTAATTCTCTGCCAGCATGTGTGTTGCATGCTTGTGCTTTGCACTTGTTCTGAACAGGTAGCTCCACACTCCCTCGTGCAGGGAAATGGGGATTTACTCAGATTTTTTCCATAGCTGAAAAAGGAAATGGCATGCTGATGCAAAGTTGCCAGGTCGCTCTCTTTTTACAGTCAAAGTGTAAATAGAAACTCCTAAAAATAATTGGTGTTTGCTTGGCTCTGCACTTAGTCCCCTTCTTCTTTTTTTAACGCTATTGCTCAGATTTGCTGAAAAGATGAATATATTTCATAATCTTTTTGTTCCCCATCCTAGGATTCTTCCAACTAATTATTTTCTTAGTAACTGTACAGCAACAAGAAAGGGGGAATCCTAGTCTGGGACTCTGAAGATTACAGCTTTTAAATCTTCAAGACATCTGTAATTACTGCCGTTGTTATTATGTTTATAAATCTTTATTAAATTTACAAGCCCAAAATTTTCAGGAAAGGAATACTAAATGCAGAGCAATAAATAAATTAGAAAGGACTTAACCTCTGTAACAGTAAAAGATACGTCCTCAATGTAAAAAAAGAAAAGAGAAAGGAGGGAAAAAAAGGAACCAGCCACCCATACCAAGGGCATCTTTGTAAGACTTGCATTGCAGTTGTTTGGTTTCCCCTGGGTTCAAGTGGGAGCTTCGGGGCTCTGTTTCCTTCCCAAGAACCTGCCAGCGTTAAGCAGAAAGCGTGGAGGCTGCGTGGTGCCCTGCCCAGCCCGCGCTGGGTCCATGCTCTCACCGATAAAGGAGCCATCAGGCTGCTGCTGTCTCAGAGGACATAATGTTTATGTTTGACATAAACATTTTTGTGAGCCCTTTCTCAACTCCAGACTGGCCACCCTGTGCTCAGGCTTGGGCTGAGAGGGAGCTCAGCCTCTCGTGGGGGAAGTCCACACGTGTTGGATAACCTGGCCCAGGCCAGCAGGCATGGGGGGTGGGCGTGTGGGGTGTCTGGTGGGCGCACTGGGATGAATTCTTCAAGTGCTACGGCTGCTAATGGCCTGTTTAGCGATGCCTCCACGGGGCTCAGCTGCTTGTTTCCGTGTGGACGTACCAGCAAAGGCCCGTGGACAAGCAAGGCTGGACTCCTGCCTGTGTCAGGCTTTCACTGTGGTGAATTAGGGCTCTGCAAGCCCAGCACCATGTGGTGTGGGCACAAAGCACAAGCCTGCCTTCCAGTGTCACCCACCTGACAGCCCTCTTTTTTCTCCCCTAACCTGGCATAACTCCTCTGATGTCTGCTATAGAGCAAGGCTATTAATCTCTCTTATGTTTGGATACTACTGTGGGGTGTTTTATAGGGTCTCTCCTTTATATGTCTCTTCCTTTTAGTTACACTTCTAGGAACATAGTATTTTTGGGACACTTAGTTCAACTCCAGTTGATAAAGAATGAGCCAGGGGATCAGAAGACCCTGAGGTAGGAGGGAAATGGCAGACACATGCACTCAGTGCAATCAAACAAGTCTCGTCTCCTAAGGAAATCACACTAAAGATAGCCTAGGGAGTTCACGTTTCCTTTATTACTCATGCCTTTTTAGGTATTTGGTCCCATTAACAATAGTGATCCTTGTCACTGCTTCCCCCAAAGACGTCCCGCAGCTTTCAAACAGGTCTGGGAGGATCCCAGCAGCAAACGTTGCTTTGTCCTCTCCTGTACTGGAGCATTCTGGCTGCTTTAGCATCGTCAGAAAGTATGGCAAGAAAAACGTCAAACGATACCCGAAATGGTAGCATTAAAGATCCATGTTACTTTTTCCATGCTTTAGGAGTTTCGTTTGTTAAAAACATGCAACTGAAACATTTTGTTTACTTTTCAAAAGGTGCTTTGGTTTCTATATAAGAAAAGCTAGTAAAGTATCATGTTTTATTATGACTTAAGCTATCCTAATGTTTATAAGACTACATAGAGTTTTGGGGACTTACTTTTATTTAAAATTCTGTTCTGTGCTCTTGTCTGTATACATATTTGTGTGTGTGTGACTCTCAAAAAAATCTGTTTTTTAAAGAGGACTTGTCTGACAATGAGGAAATGTTCCCGAAAGAAATAACCAAATGGAGTTCCAATGATCTGATGGATAAAATTGAAACCCCCGAATGCGATGATGTCCAGGGTAATTTTTTTTAAAGTAAAGACTGCATGTGATATTTTACAGTATTTCCAGGCAATTGTTACAGCCACATTCTGAAAAAGGTAAAACTTGTTATCCTCATCTCACAAAAGGAGAAGCTGAGACAGAGCATAAAAATGACTGCCCAGTGCTGCCGAAAAAGAATTGCCCAGTGGGAGCTGGGATAGCTCTTGATTCTCTTTTATTTTCCGTGTTGGTTCGGCTCCTTTGTGCGACAGCCAGGATGCTCTCGTATAATGATGAAGTATTCCAGCGCCGTCTTGAATGGCTTGAATTTCTCCTGACTCTTCTTTCCTCTTGCTCCGTCCTTTGTTCTTGTCAGTATCTGCCTCGGTTTTATTTTCTGCTCATTGTTATGAAATTTTGAAAGGAAGCTAGCTCCTCAGGCAGATCGATCCATGTAGCGGCACGGTGGAAGATGACACTTAGGCTTTCTGGTATAAGGTCGGTCTGTGTAGGCACAGACGTATGAATGCGTCAGACCTCTGCTCCCCCAGCATAGTTCAAGCAATTCCTTTTATTTTCCCACAAACCAATCATTTCTGACAATTGTGCAGGGATTTCCCATTGTTGCCATCCTTAATAAAGCAGTGATACTGGATCGCTGTAATGAGAGAAGAGGTCACTAATGTCCTCAGCGTTTACCAAGGTTATGAGAAACTGCTGGAAAATAAGTGACCCAGCATTGCCCAGGCTCCTCAGGTGGAAGGAGGCGGGAGGGAGGGAGAGGGCAATTTGATGAAATAATTAAGGAGATGGAAGGCAGACGAGGCTGAGAGGCATTGGCACAAACAGTGTCTTTATGGAAGAGTGTCTTTGCCAGATAGCATCTTGCAGTGCTGACGTTTTAAACCTCTGTGCTTCCAGGTGACTTGTATCACGAGACATCAGCAGAGTACCGTGTTGGCTCCAGCGTGGAGCGGCTCAGCATCATTGAAGTAAGTGCTTCAGTTTCTTGTAATGAGATCCTTTGTTGCTGGAATGTGTCCATGTGGGGCAAATGGGGTAAACGGCTCCCTTTGCTGCGAGCGGCGTATTGTCTTTGTGTGTCAATCGGAGCCACACCAGCATGCTGCGTACTTCATGGCTATGTTTAAGGGACTATTTCACCTGTCTTTTGAACATCATATAGAAAATGCTCTGTAGTTTGCAGGCAGCCTCAGGTATCCAGCTGGATACTAATATAATAATACTAAAATACTAATCCTGTGGGGATAACTGCAGCCTGAGGCACTGCTGGGTAGAGCTATCCTGCTAATGCCGAATGAGCTAGCGTGGACGTGGGAGCAGGAGAGTCGTGTTACTGCAGCACCAAGGAACAGGCTGCGGTGGTCCAAGTGACATAGCTCGGCTGTAGCCCACTCTTTGGAGCTGCTCAGGGTCTGGTTTGGAAACCAGTTATAGCATAGCCTGTATCAGTGCTTTGGATAAAATAATAAACAAATAATAACACACACACACACCCTGGCTTTCTAGACTTGCATATACAGGCTTTTGCAATGCAGTGTCCTAGTGAGCCAGTGCATCTTGGAATGGCTGTACTCATCCTACCCTTAAAGCATCTGCCTGTCTGTGCTGCAGAGATGATGTAGCTGCTTGCAGAGTGCCTAAGTTATGTTGTGGTCTATCAAAGACCATGAGCATGGTTTTGGTATTACTCTGTGTGCCAGGCTGTAAGTTCATGGTGGTTTGGCTTTTTTGTAATAGACTGAGAGCTCAAGGGCCATGGGGAGAGCGGGTGGCAGGGGACGGGAACGGCTCTAGCCACCTCAAGATAAGGAAGTCACAGCCCTAAGATTTCTCTTAGAGCTCAAGATGGTGTGGAGAACTTCTTGTCTTCTTCAGAGGGCTGTACAAACTCAACCCCCTCCTGTTTCTGCCTTCCTTTTGGAAAAAGAACAGACTTCAAAGTGAGATGAAAAAGACAGTTATTTGTAGTTGTTCACAAACAGTCTACTAAAATAGTACGAAATTCCTAGCCACCACTGCAGTGATTTTCAGGTTAAGAGCCTCCATCACCAAAAGGTAGTGCAGGAATCAGGTGTCTTAAGAGACTCCAGATCTTACAAGAAAGTTCTAAATAGCCACCTCCACCCCTAAACTAATCAGCAGTTGCTTGCATGTTCCCCACTTCCTTCAAGAGCAGAGGTTAATGAACTGAAAGGGAAAGGTGCCTCCAAAAGACTGCTGATAAACTTCTGGATGACCTGAGCTTGGTGACTCATGTTGTTCTCCAAATGAGCACTTAAAACATTTGTCTGAAAGCAAAAGCGGTGCTGAGATGCTGAGAGCATGCCTCCCATGCCTCCAGCCAGGCAAAAGTTCACTTTACAGGCGCTGTAAACTGGAATCAGAGAAGGTTTAAAGAGCAGGCATTAATACAGTGTAATGGTACTAAATAATTAAAGGCCATTCTTATGCAGGAGGTCTGGAAAATCTTTATTACAGACTTGGATGTGAATTTTAATACTTCTGGTGGGCTGTGTATTAAGACATGCTTTAACATTATCTGGTAAAAATGTAAGCTAGTTGTTAGGTTGCTAATGTGTGCCTGGGCATGCTTTCCTCCCACCAGCAGGTTTGTCAGGGACTCGATCGTGGCTCAAAGGACATCAGGTGACTAAAGATGCTAAAATGAGAAGAATTTGCCCAATGGAAAATACTGCTGCCCTCCACCCCTTCCACACCCCCTCCTAATGGCTATTTCTCTGCCTCAACAGGGAGTTGCCCAGGATGTTATCAAATGTTGTCTCTGCTAGCACAAGGGATAAGGCACAGGAGGAAAGATCAGTACCTGCTTTCACATATCTCAAAGGTGTTGGGGTGGGGGATTTGAGTCCATATGGGAGCCGTAAACCCTGAAAGCCCTGGTAGTGAATAGATATTAAAAACAGTTACTGCTCTGTTGTGTTATAATATGCAACCAGTACAAATGGATGTTCTTGTACCTGCTCCTGGGGCATCAGGATTGGGCTTACAGCTGTTCTGGCAGGACACTTAATGATAACCCACTCTGGAGTTCAGATTCAGTTCCCCCCTTCCCCCAAACTATAGCCTGTCTGTTTAGGCAAGGAATTGATTCAACATAATAAGCAAAAGACCTGGACAGCCAAAATAAAAACCTTTACTGTGTTCATGCAGCAGTCTCCCGGACAGGTGTTGGCCAGTCCTTGGGTCACAGGGTCTTGAAGTTTTTTCTTCTCAGTTCCTCTTTTGCAACAGTATAAGCAAATCGGAAGTCTTACTTATAACTTCTGTCATAGGCAAACAGATGCAATGACTGATCTCTTCCTACAACTTCTTTCCCCAGTAACTTGCCACTTGCTGACCTGTTTGATCTCATTTGTTAATTCTGCTGAATGTGTTTTACTGTCAACTGCTGCAGCTGAGCTCAGCACACCAACAGAAGGCAACACCCGTCTTTTATTTCTTTATTTTTCCACCCTAACACACACAAGTAATGTCTTTATTGCTGCCGTGTTTTACCTGGTTACAATTTTATGCAAATCTTTTTTTTTTTACTTTCAACATTCCTTCTGCTTAGGCCAGTCAGTTCCGCTGAGGCTCTGTGTGTGCATTTGTGCATGCACCTGTGTAGGGTAGGAGACCTGGAAGGAGTAGTCAGGTTCTCAGCTGTTTTATCTGGGTGCATCTAATGTCCATTTCTATAAATTAAGCACATTCCTTCTTGAAGACAGTTTAGTTTATTACCCACAAACCTGCAGATATTATTCTAAAACCTCGTATCTCCTGTGTTTAGAAACCTGATTTTCAGTCCACGCTTACTCAGGATCAGTTTAGACTCTTGTGCTTGCGCCTGCACTGCCCTTTGACTTAAGTGCCTCTCTTCCCTCCCTAGCTTTCTTTGCTCATCTCCACTGTGTTTGAGAGCAGGCATTTCATTCTCAGGTAGCTTTGCGAAGCAAATGAAGCTGAACTCTTTCAATCTCTGTTCAGAAAGTCTCCATGCTTCTTGTCCTTCTGTGGTCCTTCTCACACTGCAATTACCTTTGTGTGTAGATGGCCCAAACTGAACTGAGCCTTCTAGATGGGGGCTTACCAAGGCCTTGTATCGTGGCTAGTACTGTTTCTGCTGGAAATACCTTGCTTCACAGATTGTTGTTTGCCTCATCCCTGACTGGACTTGATGTGGATAGTGCATTTATTGTACACACCATGTGTGAGCTTGGGGAAGAAAAGGTGACCACATTTCCATAAAATGTATTGGACTAAATAAAACCTCTTTGCAAAATAAGCCTTTCTACTGTGCTCTCTTTCATTCCCACCTAGGATGAATCAGTGCAGCCATTAATGCAGCCAAGTAAAATCCATGTCCTCCTCTTGGTACTCCATGGAGGGAACATCCTGGACTCAGGAAGTGGTGACCAGAGCTCTAAGCAAGGGGATGTCAACACCATCACGACAGTGTTTGACACAGTGATGAGGGTACATTACCCAGCTGCTCTTGGACACATTGCCATCAGGCTAGTCCCTTGCCCAGCCATCTGCTCTGAAGCGTTTTCGCTGGTGTCCAGGTAAGTCCATGCTACTTTGTCACAGAAAGACACGTATAAAATTTCACTCTTGTTTTTTGTTTTTTTTATTCGCTTCCCTGAAATGTTCTGCATGTAGTATTGAAAGCCCTGACCACACTTTGAGAATGCACTTATTAATATACTAGCGAGGCATTCAATCTCGATTTCATACTTAGCTGCAGTGAATACAGTAATCATGCAGCAAGAGTTCTGAGATTGATTTATTCTAATTAATCCAATAAATACTAAGACTTTAATTCCTTGTCTGAGGGTTGTTCTGTCAATGTAAGTATGTTGTCCTTGAAGATGTACGTTTGATGGGAGGGAAAGATTTATTAAGCTCTCACGCATTCACAGTGGAATAAATGGCATTTCTATCTTGAGGCTTTTTTTTAATGAACCGCAATACTGACTGTACTGTCTGCAAAAGGTTTTCCCCACTCTGTATGTTAGGCTGAATATTTCCAATGTCTCTTGTCCTATCCAGCCTCAGCCCATATAGTTATGACGAAGGCTGCCTGTCCAACAGCCAGGATCACATTCCCCTTGCTGCACTCCCTCTGCTAGCAACATCATCCCCGCAGTACCAAGAAGCGGTAGCCACAGTCATTGTCAGAGCCAACCAGGCCTACAGCGAGTTCATCAGATCCCAGGAGGGCATGTCCTTCAACGGCCAGGTGAGCCAGCAGCTGCTTATAGCCACAATGAAAGGAAGAGCAAGTGAAGTAATTTCCTTCTGAAGCTCTCTTTTCCACTAATCTCTCAGGAGGGATGGAAACATCACAGTATTGAGCTGCAATAAGAAAGCGTTGCGCTTCCATTTCTTTCTTTCTGAGAGAGATAGATTATTGCTCATGCTCTGTCTTGAACCTTTGGGATTCAAAGTAAAGTCTCAGCTTGCGTTCAGAAATGAAGCTACAAAGTTGTGAAGTTAATCAATTTTCAGCATGACACACCTTTCCGAATCAGGAACGCTACCTTTGTTACTAAACATGATCTCTGCTCCCGTTGCAAACCAAGGCTCTTTAAGCATTCCCGTCTTTGAAGGACCTTCAGCAGCTCGCGCTGGAGTTGTCGCAGAAGTGGGTTTCTTTTTTGAGACTGTGCAGCTGCTGCGCCCCATAAAAGACCATGACTGAGCCTCACACCTCTGTGAGCAAAGTGACTCTCTAGCCCCACAAGGTTTGAGCTGTTCGACTAGCTGTCACATTGCACTGCTGTAGTGTGATTTCTCCACCCTGAGCTTCTTCCCAGCCAGCGCTGTGCCTGGGAACCCAGACAGCCCTCTCCTACCCAGGGGTCTCAGTGCTTTATTGTGCCTATCTGCTCAATACCCTTGGAGGCAGGACAGCATTATCTTCTCAGGGTACAAACAGGGGGCAGAAGCACGGGGAAGCTTGCCTGAAGTAGCACAGACAGCTGGCAAGGGGGGAATCAAGCTTGGTTTTCTGAGGCTGGAGTTAGCGTCGTAGTCAGTGCTCTGTGTTGCTTTCACTTCGCTCCAGTCGGCTAGTGAGGACAGCCAGAACGCATTAGCTATGTTAGATAACGAGAGTCTGCAGGGTATGGGTGGATGCTCATTGACTGAATAGTTTTACTGATGAAAGAACCGGGCATCCTGTTAACTGCAGCTTTCCTAGGTATAATCCAGCACTCCTTTTAACTGTCATTTCTGAACTGAAGTCAAGGGGCTTTTTTTTCCTCGTCCCCTGCTTCTGTTGCCTTTTTCAGGTCTGCTTGGTGGGGGACTGTGTTGGAGGAATTCTGGGATTTGATGCCTTATGCTACAGCAATCAGACTGTGTCTGAGAGCCAGAACAGCAGTCGGCGAGGAAGCGTTGTGAGTGTCCAGGTAATGCTGGCACCCAGTGTCTACTGGGCATAGGTCTGCTGGCCACAGTGCCTCCATGGCCCCTGTTTTTAGTAAGGAGCTCTTCATGAAACAGCAAAGACTCTCTTCCTTATCAATGGCCAACATGTGTCTTAAGGTGTATGTGTGTCTCAATTTGGGTGCATTTGCTCTGAGCAGGGATGCTTCACCCTCTGGTGTGAAGCGTCACCCACACCCTTAGGAAGTGGTTTGGTCTGAGGTACTGTATTGCCCTCAACTGGATCTTGGGGTAGATGGGGAAAGGAGGACAGAAGGAGAAGGATATAATGTGGGTGTATTCCTGATTCAGCTGTCAGAGTGGTAAATCCGTGTATTTCAAATCCCAGGATACCGACCTCCTGTCTCCTGGAATAACGGTGAACAACAGCTATTGTTCCAGTGGCTCTAATCTGGAAGCCAGCAGACACCTCAGCAGGAGCAACATTGATATTCCCCGTAGCAACGGAGAAGATCCAAAGAAGCAGCTGCCACGAAAAAGGAGCGATTCATCAACCTATGAACTGGACACGATAAAGCAACATCAAGCCTTTCTTTCAAGGTAAGATTTTTGAAGGAACAGAACCAGCAATATTCTGGAGCTGAGATTGGTGCATCTGTGAAACCCAAATGTTGCTTTGTCATCCTGTGATAAGCAAGGTGGAGGAAAGTGTTTCATTTAGATTAGAGGGGTATAGATTTCAGTGTGTTGTATATGCAAAAAAAATTAACAGCTCTCTTGCTGAGTGGCAGTGAGAGGATACAGCTGCTCTACTGCATCTGTTACAATAGCAAGAAGCCCTTCATCCTGTTGTTTGACAGCTGAGGCAGTCAGGTAACTGCTTTTTTGCTGTGCCGCAAGTGCAGGATAAGGAGGTCATAAAGCAAATGTAGAAATCGTGCGAGGGAAGATGGTGAAGCAGAACTGGGAATCCAGTGTTGTATTAATTTCAAAGCATCTCTGAAAGCTGATTTTGAGTTGGCTGGCCTGTTCTTGGGAAAGGTGGTTGTGAGCCAAGCATCCTTTCATTTTGGCCTAGTTCAAGTGTGAGATTGAATTGCAGTGCCCTCTCCTGTCGCAGGAGCAGGTTTCTGCTGTCATGGTGGCAGGATGCTCTGGATGAGACATCCTGAACCCTGGCTGGTTGGCTGGTTCATGGAGCAACCTTCAACTGCATGTGAGGATTGTTCTTTCTCTGTGACTGTTTAGCAAAGCAACCTGAATCTCCTATACGGAGCAGGGACAGGGGGTTGTATTCTGTCCCTTGCCAGGGCTGCTCTGTTGCACCAAGGTTGTGTTTCAAATTTGTTACTCGCTATTGAAGCCCTCAGTATCACATTCCTAAGCTTCTTCAAATGGACTTTCAGAAACGTGTCCGTTAACAAAACCGATGAAATTTTCATAGCAGTCTTTCCATTGCCACTGATTGTTCAGGGATTACTTCTGTGAGCCCAGAGGCTTTTTCTGACTGAATCATCTCCTCCAGCCTGTGGAACTGGACAGCCCAGACCTTTTCCTTCTGCGGGCCAAGGAACTGCAAAATCCTCTTAATCTCTTTTCCCCCATGTCCCAGGTACTGGGGAGCAATGTCCCCCCGGCATTGCAACTGTGCCCAAGGCTGTTCCTTTTGCCCTGTGCCGAGCTGAAGGCTTTGTCCTGCACTTCTGCCTCTCCTTCGCTACTTGCAATCGTTGCTCCGGCACGGGGGCTCGTGTTGTCCTGCCACGTCAGAGGCCCTTTTGTAAAAGATTCGTAGGAGAGAGAAAGTATCAAAGTGAATGTCGTTGGTGCACAGAGATACTATATTCAGAAAGACAGCTGCATTTACAAAAACCACAATAAGCTTCTCAGCTACTTCCAGCAGGTTAATAAAAGGCAATCAGTCTCTTGTTCATACCTTATCAAAACAGCCTCCTGTATTACAGGAGAAAATATGAGTCGTACAAAAATGTGCTCTTTCTTCTCCTTGTTCTTGACCTCGGGGGCATGGACTGAGCTAAGGAAAGCGGGCTGGCATCTTGCTGCAGTTTTACATTTAGTTTAGAATAAGCGCTGGGCCTGACATGGATAAGGGATTGCACAGTCTGTCATTTCTAATAGCTTTGTCCTGGTGCTTCCTGCTCCATCTCCTAAGCATTGTACCCGCTCCCAACATGAAGTACTTGGGGGTCCCTGGCAAGGGCTGTCAGTGTTCAGTGCGCTGATGGATTGGTTCACCTTTACTTCTTTTACAGTTTTGTATTTTTTTAAATCTACCTTTAGACCTTGGGTCAAAAATTAGTCTCTTCCCACAGCTCAAGAGCAAGATTCACTCAGGAAAAGGAGCAGCGTGATGCTGCTGTACGAGCTTTCTCCGCACCTCTCCCCCTCCGCTCCCTGGCTCAGGGAAGGCCCGGGTGCAGTGATTCACCTCTTCCCCTCCTGCGTGACGGCAGGGCGTCACACCCGCATCCTTCCTTGGACCTTGTGCTTACAGCCATCATTACTGAGCCTCACAGTCATCAGCAGAATGCCCCTTTGGCGCCTCTGTCACTAAGCAATGATTTTCCTATAAAAAACCCAAGCCCTGATGTGACGCAGCTTTGTGCAGGAGATTGGCAGAACAGAGCCAAGTTTTCCTAATGGGCTCAGCAGACGGGCAACCTGGCATACGGGGGCCTTTCTGTCCATGCCTATTGCAGATTTCAGCTTGTGCCAAAGACACTCATTTTTATTCATGTATCAGGCCTACCCGCTTCTCTGGGATAATGCCCAGCAAGCCAGAGCAGCATCTGGAGATTACAATCACACATTTATTTTTAAATTCAGTCCTTCTGCACAACTACATTATTTCTGGCTGTGCTGTACTTGTATTATTGTAAATGAGTTGATTTGCTTCTGAAATCCATAAGCTCTTGTTTAATTAATGCACACAGTACATCTGCTGCTTTTTAAAGGGAGAACAGGGCACTGTAGGTTGCTTGGAGCATGACAGATTCAGAGTTCCCCTTGGCTCTCGTTTCTTTTGATTGCTAAAAAGACTATCAAGTTCCCAGTAAAAGGAAAGAAGCTGTCCAGATTGCTTAGCGGTATGAGTGTTCTCGTTCTTTTCCATTCCCCATGAAGAGATTGCTGTGGGAAGGTGGGTGGAATACACACAAAACCCCCTTGCACCCGTCCTGCCATAACACATCTGCCATCAGGACAGTCTTTCCTTTTGTGCCTTCATTTGAATCACATTGCTGTCGCCCTGTCTTCGGCGAAACTGAACATGTTCTAAATAACTTTGTATTCCTTACACACAGCAAACTTAATGCATTGCAGTCTTGTCAGCTAAAATAATTGTAGCTCCAGTGAAGGTGGCTTGTTTTTAAATGTGCTTCAGCGTTGCGCGTCTTGGCAGCGTGATCTCAGGGAAGCTTGTTCACATCGCAGAAATGGGAACATGTTCATTTTAGCTGTCGCTGCTGTAACCTCCCGTTCCTCTCGTTTTTGACATCACTGTTTTGACTTCCCGTGATATGTATGTCTGGCGTAAGTAAGCTTGTTATTTCCCTGCGGTTGGTAACCAGGAGAATAGTACTGTGCCTGTGCATGTGTGCAGCTGTAGAGAATACATGACAGTGTGGCATGAAAAGCAGTTTTTTTAGCATCCTTTGGGGGTGGCGGTCAGCAGAGGTGCTGTCTCCAGGACGATGTGTTATTTGCCAAAGCAGGAAAGCAAAGTCCGAGTGAAACCCATTTTTCTTCCCAAATTTGTGAGTATTTGCAGCTGCTCATTTATCGAATGGCTATCCCAGAGGGGGAGCCTGTGCGAGCAACTGCTCTGGTGCTACAGATGGTGGGGAGTGAGCACCCTATTTCCATGAGCACAGCAGCGCTGGGACGTCGCTGCCCAGCCAGGCAGCCAGCACGCTGTGTTCAGAAGTGGCCTTGATGAGCAAGTGCTATTGCATACGGCGACACGGCAAGTGCTGGTGACCACCTGGGATTTTGACTTGGGGCCACAGAGCTGGCAAGAGGCTGTTGCATTTGCATCATCCCTGACTCCAGGCCAGTAAGCCTTTTATCCAGCCCAACTGTTGTGGTATCCATTTATCCTACATATTGTACAGAACCTGCTCAGATGCTTTTTAAAGTGTTTGCAAACACCCTGTTAAGTCACTGCTGGTACTCTGTCTTCAACTCTGCTTCTAATTATAACGATGATAACCCGGCAAGGCTGCCGGCTGACTCCGTAGAACCTGGAGAGCAGAAGAAATTGCAGCTTACTGCTTTTGGGTGGTAACAGAAGAATCTCAGAAACCCTTTTGTGAACCAGTTTATTAGTGTTACCCATCTGTCATTTCACTGTCTAATCCCAGATCTAGACTGCAAAGAAGCACTGCTTCCTAACGTGGGGGTGGATTCCCGGGCTTTTCATCTAAGAGTTCCTGCTGCTTCTTCCTCAGTGTCTAAGCAATACGTGAACTTAAATCTCTGTGTTAAACCTGTGTATTGCAGCGTGCACTGCACACAGGTTCACTTTTACAAAGAGATTTGACACCTGAACGAGGCGGGGGAAGGTAGACATGTTTTATGTCGTTATTCTTTTTAAGTACAGTTACCTGGAGTTGTTGGGCTGGGATTGAGAAGTAGTTTGGTAATAACTTGACAGATGTGGCCTCATGGGCAGAAGAGAAGTGGGAGAGTCCTGGGTGCACGGTAAATACAATTTACCATATGGCCACTGAGTTAATTACCCCAGATTCCCATTCCCAAAGAATGGCATACACGTGCATAAGGATACTAGAAACCCTCTTGCAGATTTTGATCTTTCTTTTTCTCTCTCCTCTCCCATTTTTCTTTTTCCTTTTCAATCCTGTAACATTTTCCCAACTACTTCCACGAGGAAGAAATGGGTAAGCACAGCTTTCCGTAACATTAGAGAATAAGGTGATGGAAGGAACTCAAATGTTGACAACCAGAAAGCATAGCAGTAACGTGTGTAATGGAGCGAATCACTGTAAACCTGCTTTCTTCCCTGCTACTCTAGTAATTTTGGCTTGCTGGTTATTTTATCTTGCAAATTACTATTCTGCTAGCAGCAATCAAGATTTTTTGACTCCTCAAAGAAAAAACATTTTGAGGAGATAGGAGTGTGTAAATGAACCCACTTGAAGCGGTTTGTACAGTCTAAATTATGCCAGTGAAATGGGGTAATTGTTTGGGGGGGACATTTTACTGGCTAGTAAAACTGCAGTACTGAGGCATGGTGGGTTGATTGGCACAGTTCCTTCACTAAAGAGACAGAAATTATATTCACTGTCAATCACTTATCTGGCCTTCAATTATGAAAAGACAGCGTGAATAAAATTTTGACTTAATTTTCTGTTCTTGTCCCAGTTTACATTCTAGTGTGCTGAGAAATGACCCAGGATCCAGGCGATCTAGTAGCTCTACTATGTTGGATGGAGGAAATATTGGAAAGTTTGAATTTGAGATCACTGACTTCTTCCTCTTTGGTTCTCCCTTGGGTCTGGTTCTTGCACTGCGAAAAACTGTCATTCCAGCTCTTGACAGTAAGTCCTGATGTAAACTGCTGAGCTCACTTAGTGGATGGTGTAAGCACCTCCTGCTACAAATCCAGTAATTTGGTGAGACAAACTGGTAAAAACCAAACATGTATATCTAATATTTATTGCACCGTAACAAAGCAGATCTAGCCAGTACTGGTTATACAATTTATTTGCGATGTACTTCCAAACATTAAAAATACTGGGCAATTCTTGAGTCTATAAATATTGTAATAAATTGTTTCAATTGACTAAACTGGAAGGTGAGGGAGGTGATAAATCCTTAGCACTTTTTTTGACCCAACAGTTGTCCTTTTTACAGACAAATATTTACAATATTCTAATAAATAACCTTTTGATACTTGAGTGTTTTTTTCTTCATCTTTTTAGTCTTTCAGCTCAGACCGGCTTGTCAGCAGGTCTATAACCTGTTCCACCCTGCAGACCCATCTGCTTCACGCCTCGAGCCTCTTCTGGAGAGGAAGTTCTACCTGTTGCCCCCCTTTAATATTCCCCGTTACCAGAGGTTCCCACTGGGTGATGGCAATTCTGCTGTTCTGGGTAAGTCACTTTGGATCCATATTAGCTGTCTAAAGGGTTATATCCACACTTTACATGAAATTATCAAAGCAATTGGGAATGACAAGAAAGAGAATTGGCCCTATAATCTTAGCTTTACTCCCGATTTACCAGAAAAGTAGTTTTCTTCCAACAAAATCAGTGCCTTGTGACCCATATGCCCTTCACTTGTCACACAAAGGCCATCAGCTGCTGAGAGTCATGATGTGGTGACCTCTCTGTGAAGGTCCCTGTCTTATACCCAAGCTGGTGCTTGTGGTTGGGACTGAATGAAATGTGATTAACTTGGCTGAGTTTAGGACTTTGATGTTTGGAGGGCTAGTGAAGAGTGGAAGAAGCAGAATCAACAGTGAGATGACTTATTTGGTTGCAACCTGTGCTTTTTCATGGGACAGGCTACTGCAGGTCGGTGGGCTGGTGGCAGTGCCTTGCCCCCTGCCACCTTGCCAATGAGACACTTGGTCTTCCTAGGATACCTAGGATTCCTCTGCCATCAGTGGCCTCTTCACTTGCTCTACCCCAATTGCAGCAGTAACAGAGTCTAAAATGGCTGTGTGCATGCCCTTTTGTCTTACCGGGTTGCATTTGAAACAACTGTGTCCTGACCGTGCCCTGCCTCAGCTCCCATTACATCAGTGCTCTTGCAGTTGATCTAATAAAATAAATTATATTTCCTACCATCTTCACCTCACTTCTGTGCCTAGACTCTCATGGTCTGTTGCCGTTTCAGTGCAGGCTGTCATTGCAAGGAGCTCTCGGGGAAGCTCACCACTGTGCAGAACTAAATTTGACCTTTCTGCTTCACCTAAAGCTTCGGTTCCCTGCAGGGTCAGGAAGAAAACGTGTGCCATAATTTCTCCCTTGTTAGAGGTTGTTAGTCAATGGCTACTTAAAGCCAACATTGCAACTAAGAGTCGCTACTATAAAACTAGACTTACAGCACACAAAAAATCACGCTGGCAAACCAGAGTAGAATATCAAAGCCACCAGCTAGAAAGATTGGGATTTGGTTGTCAGTTTTTTCCCAAAGCTCTGGTAGCTTTCTGTTTGTTTAATATTTGAATCATGCAGGACTAAATGAAAAGGAATATGTATCTAGAGCTGAATAATTCTGGTGATAGTCTGCATCACTTTTAAATTGAAAATGCAAAGCAGTGGTATCCTATATATCCTATATAAAGATTGTATTGTAATTGCTGAATCTGGAGGTCTTATTTGTTAAATGGGTATAAACTATAAACCATGTTTAATAAAGTGAATAAAATACTTTCTGCAGGCCCCACTCACTTGTCAAATTTAGCAAAGAACTTGCTGCAACACTTTTTAAAAATGTATCCACCCACAATTACATTTGTACCCAGTCCCATTACAACAGCTCGGGGAATCTATAGCAACTTGAAAAGCAATTTGATTTTTGGGTGTATTCTAGGTATCAGCTGCAAGTGGCTTCTTAAAAAAAAAAAAATCCTAAACATCTTACCTTCTTCCTCTTAAATGCATTTCAAATTCCCTGTTCTCACTGAAGCCAGAGGTAAAAGCCCCGTTGACATTGAGCAACTTGCGTTCTGGTTATCGTTCTGTACAACAGCAGGGATCTTTTTAGTTTGCTGTGCCTCCCTAGACCTTTGGGTGGCTGTGTTTTTAGAGAGACACTTGCTATGTAGTGGAGAGGAGTTAAACAGCAATTAGCTCAACTATGAGAAGGGTAGAGTGGTTTCAAAACCCCCTCCAGGTTTGAGCCTTGTTATTTTAAGAGATGTTGCTCTGCTGTGATGAATAAAACTGACAAAAAAGCAGCTTTAAATTATCTTCTTGTGTAAGACAAAACCTTTTCATTTGCTTATCATAAAGTAACAGGCTATTCCTTTCCATTGGAGTCAAAATTTCGGTGTTGTGATTTATACATTACCGAGGAGGACTGTTCTAACCATGATTCGCAAAGCTGCTACTGAAGTTAGTGTTCACTGTAGGGCGCTCCAGAAAAGTTAATTGCTGCTATAATTAAGCTATATGATTTGGTGATCACGTAAAATTCAGGTGCTCAATTATAATTAGTTACGTACAAAACCTTCTGTAACACCGCTTGTGCATATTTCCTTGTGCAGACAGCTAGCTTATTTAAAGTCCACAATTCAGAAAGCCTCTTAGACTTTCTTCATTTTCCCATCTGTACTATATGTTGGGTCCCTGTTTCATTACAACCAACTTGCAGAGTGAAATCAAATTCACATCCTTGCTTACTCCTGTGCTTTGCACTGTGTAGGCTGAGTCTGATTCAAGTAAATCTCCCCTTAGAGCATACTTTTTTTTCCACATAGTAAAAAGATTTCTCTGTGTTTGCTGGGTATTTATGGATTTGGCTCATTGGAGAAGCTGGTTAAGAGGACTCCCTTTTCTTTTGTCGTTGAAATGCCATTGTTGTGCTCTCCTCTGCTACCAGTTAATCTCTCTGATGTGAGTCTATTTGGAAAGTCACCCATGTTTTGTTTCTTTTACTCTATTTGAAGGTTGTCCTTTCATTGAAGACTCAGTTGTAACTGTTTGTATGTTAACACTTTTGTGGCCGCATGTCTGTTGTTCTTTGTCCTTCTTGTTTTGTTTTTTCTTTTTCCCATCTGCTTCTAGTTGAGACAATCCAGAACAATCCCATCCTCCTCATGGAAAGTAACCCTCTGGGTGCTCTCCAGCACCAGGACAGCTTCATGGAAACAAGTATCCCCGTTCCCGTACTGAATTGGCAAGATGTTTCCAATAAAAGTGCTGGTTTTGCTGAGTGTGTGTAATCTACACTTTCGTATTGTCTATGGTGTTGGGTACTTGGGATGCTTTTTGGAGATCATCCTGTTGCCTCCTGGAGTTGAAATCTTCATGCTGTGTCTCAGGCTGTGCCACATGAAATAACCACTTGGGATCATGCTTGGGTATACCCGCTCTGGGAGACCCACCGTGCAAAGAACGAGTTGGGATTACAAACTCTGTCCCATTCCGGTGTTGATGCTGGAAGGGGAGACTGCTGCCATGTACTTAACTTTTTTCCATCTGTGTTGGCTGTGCTGCTGGAAAGAGGCTTTGGCACAGCAAGACAGAGTCCCTGGGTGGCCCTGCTGGTGCGGTATACACCGCGCGCAGGATCCCCCGGGAATGGGTTGGTTGTCTGCAGTGTGCGTCTCCCCAGAAGTCAGCCACGCTTCACCGTGGCCAGCCGTCTAATTAATGTCTGTGTCAGAACAGATTTTGTCCGTTTGGGTATTTCGTGTTTGGACACTCCTTGTGGCTCTGCTGAATACAGTCACTGAGGCTTTCAGACCCCAAGGTGGCTATACGTGTTGGCTTTTTAAAATTGATTTCTCGACTTCTGCCTTAAAAGCAAAGCATTTGTTTTGCTTTATTTTATATCATAAATGCTGCATGGCCTCATTTATTCTGGTTGTAACTGGTGCTACATCTGCGATTTTAATGAGACTTGGCTTTGTTTTGGTTTTTTCTTCCCCGTGTGTCTTACTTGCCCATTCTCACCCCTTTTTCAGTGTTTTGCATTAAGTGCTTGGTTCTGCTGCCGTGTTGTCTTTAACAAGCTGACACTTGCTGTTTATGAGTAGTCCAGTACATCATGTGGTCATACAGGATGGCAACGTTGCTGACTATTCCAGATAGTCTCTCCCTTTGTCTGTTGAAGATGTAGATGATTTTTAGGTATGCAGTTGCCATGTTGCCTGTGCTGTGGCGTTCTGTAACAAAGCAGAGGGAAAGGATCTGGTACTATTAATTAATCACTTTGGAGGTCACTGATGAAATGCCATTTAGCTGTCATCTGATATTTCCTGCTGTCAGGACAGAGCTCTCAGAAGCTTCTCTGCTCGTAAAGAGTGTGTGTCAAGAGCACAGTGTGGCCAAGCAGTGCTTGGCTTGACTGTAGCAAGTGCTGAATCCCAGTTCAGCCACTGGACCGTGGGAAATTTCCAGAATCATAAAAACTTGTGGACAACAGAAATCTATGTTGCTCTTGATCTCAGGGTAGCAACTGCAGAGTGCCCAGCGCTGACCAGTGACTCCAGTGCAAGCAGGGTCTGGCCTGTGCTGAGCAGCTGGCTGGCTTTTCTATTTTTTTATTTTTTATTTTTATTGAACTTTACATATTTTTTTCATTGCTTTCAGTATTTACCACTTCGGTACCACAGCTCGGCGTGCAAATAGCACATATTGAAATCTGCCATTCAGATACCCCAAGGATTTAATGCAGTGCCAGCAGTACATTAGGAGGATGGCCCAGTGCCGTTCACTTAGTGGGAAACAATTAGTAAGAACATTGGCAAACGAGTCCATGAATGAAAAGGCACAGCACTGAAATGAGTACTAAAGATCCATAGGTAAGCAAAAAAAAAAAAGTGATTTTGCTTCTTACGTCACCTCTTCTGGAAGTGCAGTTAAATCTCAGTTCATTGCGCCGGCCCAACACGTACATGCTGCAGTTCGAGCAGCGGCAGGTCCTTTGCTGGGAGAGAGGTTGCTCAGGGCACCAGGTCGAGCCAGGTCTCCTCTTCCTGAAGCTTCCTTGTTCTGATAAAGTCTGCCCTCGGACACGGCGCAAAGTACGGTTCAGCCAGTGCAGTAAACCTCAGAGTGGCACCTCTGTCCTTATCTAGCAACCCAAATGAACAGCTAATCCTGATGAAAGTCTTGCTACTGCTGGTCCTGGTCCAGCCAACCGACTTCACCCTGGGCTGGAAGCACTTGCCTGAGAAACCTCCCCGTGATTGCCAGGACCTGAGCTGTGGCTGGGGATGCCACCTCTGCGATGCAGAAGACGTGGCCCTTAAGGAGCAGGAGCGGTTGCAGGTGCTGGGGTCAGCCTGTGCTGGCGTGGCAGCATCTGCGAGGTCCCACCCTGCTCACTGCACTCCCCAAGAAAGCCCCCTTGGTTTCAAAATTGCAAGAGCGGCGCTGCGCAAGGGATTTGGTGCAAAGAATACATGGAGTTTAGGAAATATGTTGTTAGGGGTTTTTTTCTGCAGGTCAGGTCCCAGGGTTTTATCTGGAAGTCGCTGTCACTGCAGCTTTGGGGTGGAGGAAGCTTGGCTGAAGGGGCAGTGATGCATAAAACAGGTTTTCTGTCTATGCTTCCTGCCCTGCCTTTTCCTGGCTCTTGTTTTTCTTAGAAACTGTCCTTTTTCAGGGTGTGTAGCTTGGGAAAAGGAAGAAACACGAGAGCCACCCGAGTGGGCTGGAGCATGGGAGCGGGCGCTGCTGTCGGGTGGCACTTTATCCCCTGCAGAGCAGACTCCTGCCATCAACGTGGGCGACACTAAGCTGAACAGTTCAGTAACGCTAAAACAGTTTAGGCTTTCATAGGAGTGAAAATTACTCCTGTGGCAACACTAGCTACGATGGTGATGGGCTGTTGAAGTTGGGTTTTGCTTCAAATTCATTGTATTCAAAAATCCCCAGTCAGGCCCAGGAAAGCAAGATTGGCTAAAAAGAGCAAGCCCAAAATACAGCTGTTTCTTCCTTTATTCACCTTCCACTTTCTGGGCCCTCGAAAAAGGAGATAAAATTCAGGCAGAGCTAAGTGAAGACACGCTAATGCAGCCGGAGCCATGATCAACTCAGGCAGCACCACATTTGGCCCAGCCTTTTCTCCTGTGTGGCATTGCTGTAATGCTCTTTAGCATGTCTTCCAGCTGCTTCCTAATTCAAGCCACTGATGTTTTATATTTAAGGGAGAGGAAGAAGTCCAGGCTTTGCTGGTAGGTGTTGGTTAAACCTGAACCTGGCATTTTTCCTAGTGTAGACAAAGCCAAACCTCTCGTTGCATCTGACCAAGTTCAGGGAAGCTGATGGTCATCATCTGTGTTACAGCTGTGTTGGGGCACTCATTTGATGTAACACAAGGGCATGGTTGCAGAAGGATCTCACAGTCTGTATAAGCAAGGGAAAGGAGAGGAAGGGGTAACCAGGGAAGAGATGAGAGGGTTGTCCCAGGTCACGCAGCGATGGGAATGAGACCCTTTGCCCCCGAGACCTTTGTGGGGTTGAACGCAGCTCCTGGCATGGCTCATGTTCTCAGAGTACAGCCTCTGTTTGAATTGTCTCTTGCTTGCGCTGGTGCTTTCTGCAGTAAAAAAGCCATGCTGGCCCAGTGGGGTTGGCTGGGTTGCAGATACAGCTCAAGGCAAGGCGAAGAGGGGAGGAAAGTGCTGAGAAAGTGATGCTGGTAATGGCCTTTCAGGCACAACGTGGGCAGTGTGTGCAGCTCATCATCAGGTCAGGCTCCCACCGGGGCTCCGATCTTGGAGTCCACGGAGCTTTTACACAGAGCAGCTTGTGGCCTGATTTTCCCTGCAGAGAACAGAACTCTTTTACCAACACTTAGCTACACATTTTCTGCTTCATACGTTCCCTTTCCCTCCACTGCAGCAGGATTTGTGCGGGCACAGACACTGCTGCTGCAAATTGAGAGATCGGAGGAAGCAAATCAGTAGCCCCAAGCAAAAAAGATCAATATTAAAATAAACCAGTTGCCAAAACAACGCCCTGTGTCAGCCGCATACTGGGATGAAATCCAAGGATATCTAAACTGGCTGAAATAGGCAGAGGATGTTGGTGTGTGGGAGTAATGTACTTGCGTTCCCCGTGGCCTCTACTGCCTGGCTGGGCGCAAACCTGTGCCCTGTCTGATACCTGGGAATAAAGTTCAGATGCTGCTGCTCAGGTACAGCAGAGACGGGCAGTGTTAAAATGATAGTAAATATCTTTGCTTTTGCATGTTAGTGTCACACCGGTGCTGCCTGCTGTGAAGTACTTGGCATTGGCATTACAAACCCTCTGCAGTGCAGGATCTTGGGATATCCCACAGACACTTAATTCGGCCTCCTAGCATCCACAGAGGGGAGAAAACTGAAATGCAGAGATTTTATTGTGACTTTCAGCATCTCTCGGTTTACCAGTCCTGAACGTATCATAGAACCATGGAATCGTTTAGATTGGAAATAGACCTTTAAGATCATCGAGTCCAACTGTTAGCCTAGCACTGCCAAGTCCACCACTAAACCATGTCCCTAAGCACCACATCTACATATTAGGTCCATTTCCCTCCAATACACGTATAAGGTCCATGCGAGCATGACTTTGAATCCTCCTTTTCTGTATTTATGTACTAAAGGGTTAGGCCACACTTGGTAAACCTCAGGTTGGGATCTAAAAATCCAGACTTGCACGTTGTGCGAAAGAAGCTCTGTTTTCACAGAGACTGAGCGCTCCCCGATCCACCAACACCGATTGGAGATGTAAGTGCTCAGCACCAGACTCCTTTCTTTCAATAGCCCTTACTTTAGTTTAACAAGTGTTGGCTGTATCCATTAGCAATAAAATACAAGTTCAAATTTAGTCCCTGCCAGGCATGAAAATGTTTTCTTGATTTTTTTTTAATTTTTTTTTCTTTTTTCATTAATGCTTCTATCTTGGAGGTGTTCATTTAAGTCTAAATGTTTCAAGAAAACAAATATCCCCTTTCTAAGGTTGTTTTTTGTTGTTCTCCTTACCATGGTTATTTTGTCTTGATGTGAATATATGAAGTTGTGTATATTCACATCTGTATGTATGACACATGCTTCTGTTATTGCTGCTTGAATAAGTCTGCCTGGATTTTTCTGTGGGGTTTTTGATTTGTTTTTTGAGCTACTTATTTTGCTTCTCTCAATCAAAGGCTGCTCCTCCAGCCACGTGTCTCTTTGCCTGCTGTGGTGTTTGCTTTCTTTTCAAACCAGAGCTCCGATGAAATGGTTTTTTTTTCATTCCAATCAGTTCTGAAAGGTTTTTGCAGCCTTGTTTGCCTTCCTCCCCTTGAGTTCATCTTGCCCAGCCTCTGTCTGTTGGTCTAATATTTTGATTTCCCTGTTTCAACTTTGTAGCAGATGTTGTTCAGTCTCATGGTGCCGTCTTCATGGAAAGCGCATCCCTGTCCACCCCCATTTCAGCCCCTCAGTTCAGGGGCTTCCGGAGAGCCAGTGAGATCAGCATTGCCAGCCAGGTCTCAGGAATGGCAGACAGTTACACTGCTTCCAACATAGCCAACAGTAAGTGTTTCACCCCCTCCCAGACTACCGCTCGCTGCCGCACCGCTCTCTCAGCACCACGCATCGCGCCAGAGCCACGCAGCTTGCTTCTGTCTGTCTGGGGTTATGCTTTCCGTTTATAACCAAAAAAAATTTGAATTATTCCGCCTTCACCTGGTTTTGTTGTAGTCAGTGCCGCGTGTTACCGTATCCCCTGGAGGAACAGATTATATATTTGATTATAATACAGGGGCCACCGCTATGTTATGCATGTTGGACTGTGTTGGTGATAAATTGTTAAAAAAAAAAAAATTGATAACTCTGAGTACCATTTGGCTGCTGTGTGTGGTGAGGGTTAATCCAAAGGCATGTTTCTGTGCTGCCGTTGATAAGTCGTGCCGAACTGGTAGGGATCAGCACTGCCAGATTGATAATGCAAGATGTGGCGTGTGGCTTGATGCAGATCACTTAAATGTGGTCCACAAAAATGAGGATGAATAAGCTCCTCTCTAATGCTGAAAGGGAAGAACAGGTTTGGCTTATTTATTACTTTGCATTAGAAATTCAGCTCTTCCGTAGCCCACAGGGCAGCTCAGAAAGTCAGCCAGTTATGACCCGTATCCCAGAGCCAAATGAGGAATAAAAGGGATTTTTTGTTATTTTTCCCAAGACCTGTATAACTTCCCAGCTCACACAGTGGAGACCAACAGCCTTTGTTAACGGTTCAGCCCCTTCTTCATTTCAGCTGAGGTGTGAGATTAACAGTCCGTGTCCTCAGGGACCTCTGATAACTCAGACAGAAAAAGGCTGGAAACCAAACAAATTAAAAACCCCCAAAAAACCTTCAGCCCAAATTTTTGTCCCAGAAGGTGGTAAAAAGTTAGATACACTCCATTTCTGGCACGTTAGACTACAGGGCTGTGAAGAACTCACCACATAATTAACTGCTGAAGTTAATAATGCTCCCTGAGGCAAGTGTTAGCTGCTGAAGGTCTGTGGGCGCTTGTCAGGGGCTGCCGTAACTTCTTGCCCTGTTTGAGGCAACGCTT